TGAATGGGTAGACCACTCCTGAAAAATGTACTTTTTGTTTTGAGTGTGACACGGTAGAGCAGACTGTGAAGGTACAAATGTTAAGCAGCACAAGAAAAGAGAGAGGGGAAGATATACAGACAATAAAATGCCATTTAGGTAGAGATGACCTAAATGGCAAACAAACACATAACAATGTCTACAATTTACATTCTATGTATAATAAACTCCTTTACAGAGTGGAAATATCTCTCTCTATGACAGGTGACTCTCTCCATCTCTCAGAGCTGAGGATAGTGCTTCTAGGAAATAGATATAGCATGAAGAGTTCAGCAGGAAACATCTTCCTGGGCAGAGTTTGACCTGACGATGACTAGAAGTAGCAGGGAGGCAGGTTACTGTGGTCAACACTCCAGGCTGGTTGAAGAATTTCCCTGTAGAGAAGACGCCTGAGCTGGTTAAACAGGAGATTGTGCTCAGTGTGTCTCTGTGTCCCCCAGGACCCCACACTCTCCTTCTGGTCATAGCAGTGGATTCTTCATTAATTGAGGAACACAAAAGAGTAGTAGAGGAACACCTGGATCTTCTCAGTGAGAGAGTCTGAAGTCAAACTATAGTGCTGTTCACTCATGGAGCCCGGCTGGGAGACACAACCATTGAGCAGCACATTGAGAGTGAAGGGAAGGCCCTCCAGTGGCTTGTTGAGAAATGTGGAAACAGGTATCATGTTCTCATCAATGAGAACAGGGTTGAACTGCTGGAGAAGATAGAGGAGATGGTGGCAGGAAACACAGAAGTGTTTCAGCAAAATGAAAAGGACAGGTACTCAAATGTCAAGAAGAGATGGAGTGCAGTATCAACAGTATCAGCAGTATCAGCAGCAATAAGAAGAGCAGGGAGCAATCAGTTGCTTCCTCCAGAAAGTTAGTATTATTCTGGTTAATCCAGTAACAGAAGAATGCAGCAAGTGTGTTACATCATGTCTTCCTCTACTGTCCTCTTCTTCATTGCATTGGATTCCATTTTGAAAACATACCTGTATGATCAAATTGAGAGTTCGAATATAGGACATGTTATGCAAAACTTAAAACTTGTTCATAACTATACATTTTTGATTGAGGATTTCTCAAAACATTGTTTTTTTCATACAATTCTACTGGTCATTATGTGAAAGAAAGATGTAATTACAAAAAAGTATTAGAGTTCCCTGAAGGTGATCTTGTTGTTGTGTTGTTCCACAGTGAGTGGGGCAATGCCAATAAGAAGAGCATAGAGAAATCAGTGTAGCAATTATGTTACATAATTTTTTTTTTTCGTTAACAAAATCGGTAATCTCCTCGTGTCCTCTCCTTCATTGCTCTGATCGAACAGACAGTGAAAGCCAGCCTAATGAGCTTCCACCATATCGTTTTTTAACCTCCCAAGTATTTCCTGTTTTTATGAATAGGAGGAGACAAAGTGTCGACAGATTTTTATGCAATCGTAGACTTTAGCTCCTACACAATTTAAAATAAACAGCTACTTCCAGCATCTCTGTCTACCTTGGTAAAGCACACCTCTCGCTGACCTACACCATGTTTGATTTATATATTACACAACTAATCTTCTCCTTTCCCCCTTCTGATAACCAGGTGGCGAATCGCATCTCTGCATGTCTGGCAGACATATCAGTGTGGATGACGGATCACCACCTCAAGTTGAACCTCGGCAAAACGGAGCTGCTCTTCCTCCCGGGGAAGGACTGCCCGTTCCATGATCTCGCCATCACGGTTGACAACTCCGTTGTGTCCTCTTCCCAGAGTGTGAAGAGCCTTGGCGTGACCCTGGACAACACCCTGTTGTTCTCCGCTAACATCAAGGCGGTGACCCAATCCTGAGGTTCATGCTCTACAACATTCGGAGAGTACGACCCTGTCTTACACAGGTCCTAATCCAGGCACTTGTCAACTCCCGTCTGGATTACTGCAACTCGCTGTTGGCTGGGCTCGCTGCCTGTGCCATTAAACCCCTACAAATCATCCAGAATGCCGCAGCCCGTCTGGTGTTCAACCTTCCCAAGTTCTCTCACGTCACCCCGCTCCTCCGCACACTCCACTGGCTTCCAGTTGAAGCTTGCATCTGCTACAAGATCATGGTGCTTGCCTACGGAGCTGTGAGGGGAACGGCACCTCCGTACCTTCAGGCTCTGATCAGTCCCTACACCCAAACGAGGGCATTGCGTTCATCCACCTCTGGCCTGCTGGCCCCCCTACCTCTGCTGAAGCACAGTTCCCGCTCAGCCCAGTCAAAACTGTTCGCTGCTCTGGCACCCCAATGGTGGAACAAGCTCCCTCACGACGCCAGGACAGCGGAGTCACTCACCACCTTCCGGAGACACTTGAAACCCCACCTCTTGAAGGAATACCTGGGATAGGATAAAGTAATCCTTCTACTCCCCCTTACCCCACCCCAAAGAAAGAAAAAAAAAACATTGTAAAGTGGTTATCCCACTGGCTATAAGGTGAATGCACCAATTTGTAAGTCGCTCTGGATAAGAGCGTCTGCTAAATGACGTAAATGTAAATGTAATGTTGCATGATATAACGAGGTGTTTGTAGGTGAGAGGTTTAGGCAGAAATAAAATACATTTTCTACTAAACTACAAGATACTGCTGGTGTTAAAATGTTTTATTGGCATTTCATGTTATAGTTAATAATTTGTGACAGACAGTCTGACAGTACCCATGTGTCAGTGTGCATAACATAATGGTTTCTTGAGAAGAAATGTAAAATATATTTAAGTAAGGAAATCCAACACTGTGCCAATTTAAGTTCAGAAAAGTTTCAATAGTTGAAACTGAAGTAGAAAATAATTGGGGGAAAAACATGATATATATATATATATACACACACACACATACACTTGCATCATGTCTAGAAACCATAAAGAACACAGAAGGGCTAGGCCATAGGCTAGGACCTAGGGGAAAGGACTAGAGAAACAAATGGAACTGTGCCACAATGACTTGTCACCCTTGATAAGTAGTCATCTTCCCATTAAAGGTGACCAATGCCACATTACTTGTATCACCATGGTGTTATGAGTGCCACTGTCAAAAGTTGACCGAACAGCAATACTTTTTTAATTCATAACTGTAATAATACAACCCGAATTCAAAATATTAGTAAAACTAGTAAAGTTTAGGTTAATTATGTCTATAAAGGCCCTCAGTCCTGCAACAATTTGAATAAAATAATATTGTAATAAAAAATATAAAAGAAAACTAAACATAAGAGAAGATGCCTATGGCCCCTTTTCCTCAGTGTGGGCTTTACCCTCTGAGTCTGACATCAGCTATTAAGAATGCTAAAATACTGTCATGATGTTGTTGAGGTTTTCCCATGTAAATGACTTGTGTCATCCCTTATTATGTATAACCAACAGCCTGAGTTCTAGGATCTGGGACTGTAATGTAATACTGATTTGTATAAAAATTTCTAATGCAATACATTTTAATGGAATTGGACATAACATGAACCTATGCATATTAAAACTTGTTTAAACCAACCAAAAGGCCTTGGTGTCATAAATACAATTGTTCCAACCATTGAGATTCTTATTCTATTTCTATGTTTTCCATGCCTCTCCATTTGTACATTTAGTCAAGAGAGCCTTTGTGAAATACAGTAAGGCGGTCTGGATGCAGTTCAATGTGGGCGAGTTGACTCCAAAGAACTCAATGCTAGACTGCAGGACTGAATTTTCCATGAGAATATTCATGAAATACATCTTTGTACACAAATGACCAGGATAAGGGTTCAAACTCACTCACTCCATCTCACGTGACTCTTGAATGAACCTGATTTAATTGTCCACTCAAGACTAATTTGCAGGCATACAGAAGGTCCAGTGAGATACGTAACATAAAGGAGACTAAAGAATGATCCCCTAACTTCGTTTTCAGGCAGATCAGTGGTAGAGAGAGTAGTTCCATTACAAAGGGAAGCGACATGCCCGTCTGTTTGGCCTGCACGGTGGTGCTTGTTATTAGTCTACTCCCTACGGTGCATCCTTTGAAAACAGCAATGCTTCTCACAGCTCCGTTAGCGTCCATCCACTGTCTTAGTATTAGAGTCTACGTGAGTCAAGTCAAGCCCACTATCAAAGATACTACTCTGACAGCCACGGAGCACAGGAACCATTTCTTCAAGATGAGAAGAATTGATAAAGATTCAATTAGAGCATGCAACACTACCGGCACACATTACGGTCTAATCTCAAACAAGTCAGGAAGCATTTTTTTTATGATACAGAAAAAAGTTGCTTGCCTTCCAATGACCTTTGAAAGCTGTGAGACTTTCCTCATCTGCCAGATCCAATGACCCAGTCTGTCACTGTGTTTCTTCTCGGCAAGTAAATCTGCTGCCTCATGGACCTGTCTGTGCTCAGCACATAGTGGTTGAGTGACCACACACACTGTACCAGTAAATGCAAACACCACTGGTGCCTCAGGGCACTTCAAACCAGCCAACACCCCAACTAACACATTCACACCTTGCTGCTGGAAGCTGAACAGAGTAAACAGAACAATAATATACCTTTCTCCCTGTTCGTCTGCACTCCCTCGCAATAAAACAACACTAACCAAAACAGCAAATTTTAACCAAAGGCATAGGGGTCAGGCAAAGACTATAAAACTGTAAGATGACTTATAATGATGACTTATTAAGATGACTTATTATCTCCCGAGTGGCGCAGTGGTCTAAGGCACTGCATTGCAGTGCTAGCTGTGCCACTAGAGATCCTGGTTCGAATCCAGGCTCTGTCGTAGCCGGCCGCGACCGGGAGACCCATGGGGCGGCGCACAATTGGCCCAGCGTCGTCTAGGGTAGGGAATGGCCGGCAGGGGATGTAGCTCAGTTGGTAGAGCATGGCGTTTGCAACGCCAGGGTTGTGGGTTCGATTCCCACGGGGGGGGTATGAAAAAAATTAATAAATGAAAATAACAATAATGTATGCACTCACTAACTGTAAGTCGCTCTGGATAAGAGCGTCTGCTAAATGTAAATATAACATTTCTTCCAAAGACCAAGAGCCCTTTCATCCACATCTTGTAGAGACACAGCAGACCTAAAACCTGTACTGAGAACCTTTAAAACACACTAGTTTAGTTCAACTTAATCTTCAAAAAACCTCAAGCACTAAAAGCTAAAGAGTTCGTGAGAAATGAATCTCCTTTACAAGCATAGTAAAAGAGCCCCATAACTCTCCAAACAGGCTGACAGTGCTTGGCTCGTTTATCTCGCATGAGGTTTTTCCTCCTGCTCCCCACTTGGGCCGTTGGACGGCGGCTTGTTGCTGAAGTTCCAGTCGACAGGGTTGAGGAGCTGCATGGTCTTCTTGTGTGTCCAGATGGGGTTGATGATCACTGTGAGCAGGGCCAGGCCGGTATAGAAGAGGATGCGCTGAGGCAGGGCAACGTACATGTTCATCTCCCCCCAGTGGCTCCAGCTCACCCACCACATGTAGTACGTGAGCACCATGCGGCAGTGGAACATGTGGATCATCACCCACTGGTTGGCCTTCCAGAAGAGGGTCCTCGCCCAGCCAGCCTGGAGGGGAGAGAAGAGGGATACTTAGTGAAGGAAATGTACTGATTGGGCAGGGGATAAAGACTGTCACAGTGTTTGGGGTCCTCGTCATCTATAACAATGTACAGCGCCTTCAGAAAGTATTCACACCTCTTTACCTTTTCTACATTTTGTAAATTGAGATTGTGTCACTGATCTGACACAATACCCCATAATGTAAAAGTCTAATTTTGTTTGTGGAACATTTTCTAAATTAATAAAAAATGAAATGTCTTGAGTCAATAAGTATACAACACCTTTGTTATGGCAAGCCTAAATAAGTTCAGGAGTAAAAATGTGCTTCACAAGTCACATAATAAGTAGCATTTACTCATTCTGTGTTCAATAATAGTAGTTAACATTGATTTTGGAATGACTACCCCATCTCTGACCCCACACATACAATTATCTGTAAGGTCCCTCAATTGAGTAGTGAATTTCAAGCACAGATTCAATCACAAAGACCAGGAAGGTTTTCCAAAGCCTCGCAAAGAAGGGCAGCTATTGGTAACTGTGTAAAAATAAAATAAATACAAAATCTGACACTGAATATTTCCCTTTGAGCATGGTGAAGTTATTAATTAGGCTTTGGATGGTGTATCAATAAACCCAGTCACTACAAATATACAGGTGTCCTTCCTAACTCAGTTGCCAGAGAGGAAGGAAACTGCTCAGGGATTTCACCATGAGGCCAATGGTGATTTTAAAACAGTTACAGAGTTTAATAGTTGTGATATGAGAGAACTGAGGATGGATCAACAACTTTGTAGTTTGTCCACAATACTAACCTAAATGACAGAGTGAAAAGAGTGAAGCCTGTACTGAATAGAAATATAAAACATGCATCCTGTTTGCAACAAGGCACTTAAGTAATACTGCAAAAAATGTGGCAAAGAAATTAACTTTTTCTCCTGAATACATTTACATATTAATTTAGCAGACGCTCTTATCCAGAGCGACTTAGTTGGTGAGTGCATACATTTTTCATACTTTTTTTTTTTTTTCATACAGTGTTTTGTTTGGGTCAAATCCAACATCACAGTGTACCACTCTTCATATTTTCAAGCATGGTGGTAGCTGCATCCTGTTATGGGTATGCTTGTCATCGGCAAGGACTAGGGAGTTTTTTTAGGATAAAAAGAAACAGAATAAAGCTAAGCACAGGCAAAATCTTAGAGGAAAACCTGGTTCAATCTGCTTTCCAAAAGACACGGAGACGAATTCACCTTTCAGCAGGACAATAACCTAAAACACAAGGCCAAATCTACACTGGAGTTGCTTACCAAGATGATATTGAATGTTCCTGAGTGGCCTAGTTATAATTTTGACTTAAAATCGTCTTGAGGGCCTCCCGAGGGGCGCAGCGGTCTAAGGCACTGCATCGCAGTGATAAAGGCGTTACTACAGACCCAGGTTCATTCCCGGGCTGTTCCACAACCGGCCGTGGCCGGGTGTCCCATAGGACGGCCCACAATTGGCCCAGCGTCGTCCGGGTTAGGAGAGGGTTTGGCCAGTGAGGGCTTTCCTTGGCTCATCGCGCTCTAGCAACGGGCCGGGTGCCTGCGGGCTGACCCCTGTCGCCAGTTGAGTATTTTGTGTAGATCGTTGACCAAAAGTGACAATTAAATCCATTTTAATCCCACTTTGTGAATACTTTCTGAAGGCACTGTAAAACATCTTGGGAAATAGAACAAAAGTGACATGTGAAATCTCATGTGACTTGGGTCTATTTCTCCTTAGAAATTCCCCTTTCTCAGAATGGCCATCTGTACATTTATCACCGTTGCAAATCATGTCAAGGTGCTGGTCTCAGTGTCGAGTATGTAAACAGAAAAGGGGAACTGAAATCCATCTGTGCTTTCTATGTCTAGTCCGCCAGTAAAACAACTGAACTATAAGAAAATGAATAAGCTATGATAATAAGTATCCTGGATGGATATTGACCTCATTCTGTCAGTAGAGGATGCCTGGATGTTCTTCAAAAGTCTTTCCTCTCCATCTTAAATAAGCATGCCCCACTCAAAAAATTCAGAACTAAGAACAGATATAGCCCCTGGTTCACCCCAGACTTGACTGCCCTTGACCAGCACAAAAATATCCTGTGGCGTACTGCATTAGCATCGAACAGCCCACGCAATATGCAACTTTTCAGGTAAGTCAGGAACCAATATACACAATCAGTTAGGAAAGCAAAGGCTAGCTTTTTCAAACTGAAATGTGCATCCTGTTGCACTAACTCCAAAAAGTTTTGGGACACTGTAAAGTCCATGGAGAATAAGAGCACCTCCTCCCAGCTGCCCACTGCACTGAGGCGAGGAAACTGTCACCACAGATAAATCTACGATAATCGAGAATTTCAATAAGCATTTTGCTACGGCTGGCCATGCTTTCCACCTGGCTACCCCTACCCCGGCCACCAGCTCTGCACCCCCCGCTGCAACTTGCCCATGCCCTCAGATAGCTGATGTCCTGAAAGAGCTGCAAAATCTGGACCCCTACAAATCAGCTGGGCTAGACAATCTGGACCCTTTCTTTCTAAAAATTTGCTGCCGAAATTGTCGCAACCCCTATAACTAGCCTCTTCAACCTCTCTTTCGTATCGTCTGAGATCCCCAGAGATTGGAAAGCTGCCGCGGTCATCCCCCTCTTCAAAGGGGGTGACACTCTAGATCCAAACTGTTACAGACCTATATCCATCCTGCCCTGCCTTTCGAAAGTATTTGAAAGCCAAGTTAACAAACAGATTACCGACCATTTTGAATCCCACTGTACCTTCTCCGCTATTCGAGCTGGTCATGGGTGCAACTCAGCCACGCTCAAGGTCCTAAACGATATAATAACCGCGATCGATAAAAGACAGTACTGTGCAGCCGTCTTTATTGACCTGGCCAAGGCTTTTGACTCTGTCAATCACCGCATTCTTATTGGCAGACTAAATAGCCTTGGTTTCTCAAATGACTGCCTCACCTGGTTCACCAACTACTTCTCAGATAGATAGAGTTCAATGTGTCAAATCGGAGGGCCTGTTGTCTGGACCTCTGGCAGTCTCTATGGGGGTGCCACAGGGTTCAATTCTCGGGCTGACTCTATTCTCTGTTTATATTAAACGATGTCGCTCTTGCTGCTGGTGACTCTCAGATCCACCTCTACGCAGATGACACCATTTTGTATACATCTGGCCCTTCATTGGACACTGTTAACAAACCTCCAAACGAGCTTCAATGCCATACAACACTCCTTCCGTGGCCTCCAACTGCTCTTAAACACTAGTAAAAGTAAATGCATGCTCTTCAATCGAACGCTGCTTGCACCCGCCCGCCCGACTAGAATCACTACTCTCGGCGGGTCTGACTTAGAATATGTGGACAACTACAAATACCTAGGTGTCTGGTTAGACCGTAAACTCTCCTTCCAGACTCACATTAAGCATCTCCAATCCAAAATTAAATCTAGAATCGGCTTCCTATTTCGCAACAAAGCCTCCTTCACTCATGCTGCTAAACATGCCCTCGTAAAACTGACTATCCTACCGATCCTTGACTTCGGCGATGTCATTTACAAAATAGCCTCCAACACTCTACTCAGCAAATTGGATGTAGTCTATCACAGTGCCATCCGTTTTGTCACCAAAGCCCAATATACAACCCACCATTGTGACATGTATGCTCTCGTTGGCTGGCCCTCACTACATATTTGTCGCTAAACCCACTGGCTCCAGGTCATCTATAAATCACTTCTAGGCAAATCCCCGCCTTATCTTAGCTCATTGGTCACCATAGCAACACCCACCCGTAGTATGCATTCCAGCAGGTATATCTCACTGGTCATTCCCAAAGCCAACACCTCCTTTGGCCGCCATTCCTTCCAGTTCTCTGCTGCAAATGACTAGAACGAACTGCAAAAACCTCTGAAGCTGGAGACACTTATCTCCCTCACTAACGTTAAGCATCAGTTGTCACAGCAGCTTACCGATCACTGCACCTGTACACAGCTCATCTGTAATTAGCCCACCCAACTACCTCATACCCATATTGTTATTTATTTTGCTCATTTGCACCCCAGTATCTCTATTTGCACATCATCTTCTGCACATCTATCACTCCAGTGTTAATACTAAATTGTAATTATTTTGCACCATGGCCTATTTATTTCCTTACCTCCATAACTTACATTTGCACACATGTATATAGATTTTCTATTGTGTTATTGACTGTACATTTTGTTTATTCCATACAGTGAGGGAAAAAAGTATTTGATCCCCTGCTGATTTTGTACGTTTTCCCACTGACAAAGACATGATCAGTCTATAATTTTAATGGTAGGTTTATTTGAACAGTGAGAGACAGAATAACAACAAGAAAATCCAGAAAAACGCATGTCAAAAATGTTATAAATTGATTTGCATTTTAATGAGGGAAATAAGTATTTGACCCCTCTGCAAAACATGACTTAGTACTTGGTGGCAAAACCCTTGTTGGCAATCACTGAGGTCAGACGTTTCTTGTAGTTGGCCACCAGGTTTGCACACATCTCAGGAGGGATTTTGTCCCACTCCTCTTTGCAGATCTTCTCCAAATCATTAAGGTTTTGAGGCTGACGTTTGGCAACTCAAACCTTCAGCTCCCTCCACAGATTTTCTATGGGATTAAGGTCTGGAGACTGGCTAGGCCACTCCAGGACCTTAATGTGCTTCTTCTTGAGCCACTCCTTTGTTGCCTTGGCCGTGTGTTTTGGGTCATTGTCATGCTGGAATACCCATCCACGACCAATTTTCAATGCCCTGGCTGAGGGAAGGAGGTTCTCACCCAAGATTTGACGGTACATGGCCCCGTCCATCGTCCCTTTGATGCGGTGAAGTTGTCCTGTCCCCTTAGCAGAAAAACACCCCCAAAGCATAATGTTTCCACCTCCATGTTTGACGGTGGGGATGGTGTTCTTGGGGTCATAGGCAGCATTCCTCCTCCTCCAAACACGGCGAGTTGAGTTGATGCCAAAGAGCTCGATTTTGGTCTCATCCGACCACAACACTTTCACCCAGTTCTCCTCTGAATCATTCAGATGTTCATTGGCAAACTTCAGACGGCCTGTATACGTGGCTTCTTGAGCAGGGGGACCTTGCGGGCACTGCAGGATTTCAGTCCTTCACGGCGTAGTGTGTTACCAATTGTTTTCTTGGTGACTATGGTCCCAGCTGCCGTGAGATCATTAACAAGATCCTCCCGTGTAGTTCTGGGCTGATTCCTCACCGTTCTCATGATCATTGCAACTCCACGAGGTGAGAACTTGCATGGAGCCCCAGGCCGAGGGAGATTGACAGTTATTTTGTGTTTCTTCCATTTGCGAATAATCGCACCAACTGTTGTCACCTTCTCACCAAGCTGCTTGGCGATGGTCTTGTAGCCCATTCCAGCCTTGTGTAGGTCTACAATCTTGTCCCTGACATCCTTGGAGAGCTATTTGGTCTTGGCCATGGTGGAGAGTTTGGAATCTGATTGATTGATTGCTTCTGTGGACAGGTGTCTTTTATACAGGTAACAAGATGAGATTAGGAGCACTCCCTTTAAGAGTGTGCTCCTAATCTCAGCTCGTTACCTGTATAAAAGACACCTGGGAACCAGAAATCCTTCTGATTGAGAGGGGGTCAAATACTTATTTCCCTCATTAACATGCAAGTCAATTTATAACATTTTTGACATGCGTTTTTCTGGATTGTTTTGTTGTTATTCTCTCTCTCACTGTTCAAATAAACCTACCATTAAAGTTATAGACTGATCATTTCTTTGTCAGTGGGCAAACGTACAAAATCAGCAGGGGATAAAATACTTTTTTCCCTCACTGTATGTAACTCTGTGTTGTTGTTGTTTTTATTGCACTGCTTTGCTTTATCTTGGCCAGGTCGCAGTTGTAAATGAGAACTTGTCCTCAACTGGCTTACCTGGTTAAATAAAGGTTAAATAAAAAAACAGTACAGTGTCACAAATGGAGTCAATCAACAACTACAAAACAGAAACATACTTTATAGAGAATATGATGAAAGGCACCAGACAGACACAAACACTCCTTTACCTTTAGTAACATCCAGGAGATGCAGGTGAAGGGTGTGCTCATCTCCAGCAGCAGAGTGACCATGGGCAGGTAATGTCCTAGTGAGTCCCAGACCACCGCCCCAGCGAACCCTGACAGGGCAAAGAAATGATGGGCAGCCAGGGGGAGGTCGAAGGACCTGAACACCACACTGGAGGCATGCAGCGCCACATTCTCAAACAGAAAGAAGCCTGTGGCGGTGAGCACAGTGAACCAAGACCAGTCCTCCTGACCTCTGACCCTGTCCCTGGACATGGCCGAGTCCTCGGTCAGCGCCCGTAGGCCCGCCACCATGCTCTGGAGGCCGAACGCAGCCCGTGTGGCCGCCAGGTTCCAGAACACCTTCTCCTTAGCCAGCAGAGAGCGGTAGGTCTGAGAGAGAGCCGTGGACACCAGGTGGGAGAGGAGGAACACGGCCGTGTAGAAGGCAAAACCCAGGCCGATGACCTGGAAGCGAAGGCCCCAGGAGAAGTAGCCCGGACTGGGGTCGCCGGGGCCCTTGAATGCATGCAGGGTGCTGGCCTGCTCGGAGGTCATGTTAGTTTGTGTGAGTGGATGGATGATGTCTGTTGGGAGGTCTCAGAGTTGAGTGACCCGGTGATCATTGAAAGGACTAGTTACTGGTTAGTCATCAACCACAAAAGCTGAAGAACATAGGCACATCCAGGTACTTTCCGCAGGTGCTGGAGTTGTAGACAAACTCATGGAAAACAGACAGGAATTAAAGCCAACCACCCTGCAAAAGGAATTAAAGCCAAAACACATTGGTCAATGTTCATAAAATAGTTATGACATGTCAACATGTGCTAGATGGCGTTTGAACATTACCCTCTATACCTAGCCAAAAACATGATCAGTTATTGTTGACCCAAGATAAGTGATGTCGGTGTGTTAACTTCTGTCTGTTTGAAATAACACAGAGGCACAAGAAAGGAGAAGTGAGTGACTTCACACCTTCTTTCGTTTGACAGACGATAACATAAGATATCGGGCACCTTTTTTCCCCGAGGAAAATCGTCTGACCATGGTGTGTCAAGTGAAATTCAATCTGATAAATGCAACAACGTGGCTAAATCAGCTAGATACGTTGATACATGGCAGAGAAAAACAGAGGCCAGTTTACTAAAATCTGAAACATTGCACCATTGTTTACACTGTAAAAAATGTCCACTCAGGCACAATTGCGATACCTTTGCTGCAACATTATTGCATGCTGTTTCTCATCTGTAACAGAACAGAATGTCCTGACACAAAACAAACAAACGACTGTTTGTGGCTTTGGCTAACGAGCTAACTAGCCAACATATATGCCTACTCATCGCCATTGTAGCAAGAATAATTACTTACCTTATTCGTTCATTCTTGGCAAACATCAGTTTGTTGGACTGTGAAATCAAAGAAGATATTCGATCCGATCAGCAACGGGCTTGTTATGAATTTCTTCTTCTTCTTCTGCTTCTGCTTCTTCTTCTGCTTCTGCTTCTTCTTTGGTGGGGTTTATCGGCGGTTGGCATCCAATGTTATGGTGCATTACTGCCACCTACTGTACTGGTGTGTGGGCCAGCGATAGGGAGCCCTGTTGCTCTTAAAAAAGATAACAAAATATTTGAGACTATATCTAATGACGTTCTACTCAATATACTCTTTAAACTAATTTCCTGTATCGCCTTCTCCCTCATACTAGATCTCAGCCTTTCTCTTTCTCTCTGATACTGCCCATACTGTAGCAATACTGTAGTAAAAATAGCCTACTCTCTTCTGTCCCTTCCTGCCGTCCTCCCCTCCCCGACTTTCGTCTGTACTTGAAATAAATGCCTGCCCTTAGTATCTCTATTCCACTGCTCCTGCCATCTCTGAACCATCACTGTCCATATCAGGCTTTTTGCCTCTGCCTTGCTCATTGAAACTATAACATCAACATCCCCACTACTAAGTGCTTGTTTAGCCAGTACATCAACTGCCTCGTTCACCTCCACCCCCACATGGGCTGGGACCAAGTAAATCTTATCTGTATACCCATCTGTCTAATCCTGCCATGGGTTTGTAGCACCTCATAAAGCAGGTCTTGTCTGCTACGTGAGCTAAAGGACTGGAGACCCCTCAACACTGCATATGAATCAGAGTAAATAACTACTCTGTCCAGCTTGACTTCCTCCACAACACTGCGGGCCAACAGTATGGCCATAACCTCCGCCGTATATACAGCCAGATGATCTGTAATACATTTCCTGACTTCCACCCCACATTCCTGCACTACATATGCTGACCCAGTACGTCCTGTCCTTTGATCTTTTGAACCATCTGTGTAAATGGCCACAAAAAATCCTGATACACAGTATCCAGACATCTCTTAAACAAATCAGATGGATCAACACCCTCCCTATCTTTCTGTAGTCTCTCCAACACTTCTAGATCAACTACTGGAGGCAGGAGTAGCCATGGTGGATTTACAGGAATAGCTACCGTTGGACTAAACTCCCTTCCATACAGTCCCATCTCCTTCGTCTGGGTATTACCCACCCACCCAAAGCTCATATTCTGTCTTCGCTCATGTTCCCAGCATGCCTGTAAAATCCCTTTCGCAGGATGAGACACCCCATGTCCCTGTAGGTTGACCCAATAATTCATTGCCAGCTGCTGTCTCCTAATCTGCAATGGCATATCCCCCATCTCCACCTGTAGTGCAGACACTGGGATCAATTTGGTCGCTGGCAAGAAAACAGGAAATCCCGCCCTATGAGTTTCCATGCTCTCCTATTGGTCAACACTACTCAGGCAAGTGTATTACTGTGTTTCTATTGGCCCTGAGAACATAATGTTATTAATCCCTAATTTATGTGGTGGCATCTCATCTGCAACGTTTTGAGGTTTAAGTTATCCAGCCTTTGACAAAATATTGTTATCATATAGTTCAGTAATTAGTGAATTATTGAATTACACTGCATGCAGTAGCCTACTTACTAGTTTACATGGAGTGAAGAAAAGCAAATAATGAGACACCACCCAGTCCCTCTCAAACTTTTAAATGTTTTTCATCAAAAAATGTAATTGCAGAAGTATTTACATCAGATGATATCAGCAATGATTAAACTACTTTTAAGAGGCAAAATCTTCAAAGTGTTCATTTGGAAAAAATTTAGTAAAATACAGAAATACAGTTGTGATGTGTTTAAAATAACAGAGATTTAAAAATAATAACAATGACAAAATCAGTAAACATTTTAACATATAAAACATATATAAATGCATCTTTTCTAAACAGGTGAATAAATACACATATCAATGTAACAGTGTCAATACAAAAAGACTATGAATAAACTAATCATACATTCAGTATCAGTATTTTGCATGCTATCATAACAGCTTTTCAAAATAACCCCAACAAAGGAACAAATTGATAACAAAACACGAGTAAAAGCCCAAAAAAAATGTTTCAATGAGGCATATATCATATATTAATATATTTATTATATATATATATATATATTTCTTTACAAATAAAGAATATTTGGCATTATATTCATCCTCACTATAGATATGATATACAAGAGATGAAAATAGTTTTTAGCTAAACAACTACCTTTTGAATTTGTCTAGTCATTTCACATTCCGAGATCCAGGAAGTGGTGTATCAGTGTGTCATCTTCGTATTTTCTCCACAATGTGGCAAAAAAAAGACCCCTCATAAATACTAGGGTCCCAAAGCAGATAGACAAAACAAGGCCAAACAAGTAGTGTGGCCATCGATGAAGAGGAACTGTCCTAGACACTGATACATCATGTTGGGGAGAGAGGCAAACTACAGTAGGTGGGGGTTCCACATTTTCTTAAAGAATATGGCAGTTATTTTTCTGCTGCCTTCATTAGAATGAAGCTAAACAAAATACTACTTTTATCTGTGGTATCAGTTTCAGACGGTTTTATCTGAAGTCAAAATGAAGATGACAAAATAAAATAAAATGTAAAACAAACTACATGCCACATTTACCAGATACTTTGTTTCCCTCTGAATTCATGCCCAATGAGCAGCCATTTTATACCCTCAACCAAACCAGCTAACACAATGTCCCATAGACATTAAAGCCTGGAAGAACACAACGGTTGCATTGTTTGGCTGGTTATAGCTGATAGACTGGATCTGTTTGGTTGTGTGTGTTCTGCAAGGGTTACACATTTGGACATGCAGTGGAAACAATATGTGGGCATGGAAAGGATATGGCGTAACAAATCAAGGGGAAACAATATTATAAATCCCATGTTAAAAATAATGATACATTAATAACCGAAAAAAGAACTTGGGGGCCATCTAATGGACTGAATTGGTACTGTTATACTTACAAGTGATCAAGTATAGCAAATGTAGCCAGATAAAGAGAAATACAACCCATTGGTTACAGTTTTGTAACAGTGGACCGGGCTCAGAGAGGGAGCTTACCCTAAATAGATCTGGTCTAAGGTTAACCAACAGTAGAGAACCAATGGTTGTCTGTGGCAGGATTGAGAATACGATTTTAGAATATGGCACAATTTGTTATTCTATAAATGGCACTGGTAGTGGAATGTATAAAATGTAACTCTGTAATGAGTAATTAAAATGCAGAGTACAGAAATAATTATTCTCATAAATGGAATGGTAGTAAAAAATATGCAGCCTGCTTTTCAATACTGAACATCCACTATAACTCCTCCGATCCTTCTTGTACATTTTTGTATTCAACTTTTCATTTCCTCAATCTTTCAAACACTCATCACACAGACATAAAAACTATTGAAAAAATCTAAGCTATGCATGAATATGCTGCTAAAGCCATTGTGTTTAGATTGAATTTGAGCTTTCAATGTGAGTTGCTAGCTCGCTGCCTGAGCTACTTGTCATACCTTAGGCCATGTCACCATTCATAATGGTTCTATGAGCATTGAGGGTTGTCTGGATGGAATCCAACTGGAAATGGTACTGTAGAGTGGAGGAGGAAACACCAAAGTAGAGTAGCTGTCCCATCAAAGCAAACAAGAGACTCATAGAAGCAAACGCACACTCTTGCACGCACACACACCAACCCTGATGAATTTGCATATAAGTACACACACACACACCTCTGTCATTTCAGCGACACACTGTAAAAGAAGCAGAGCTCATGTCAGAGTGTGTATCCTCCAGGGATGCCAGGGCTGATATGGAGCCAAACCGGATCTATATAATCCATACAGTGCTGTGATCACCATGTACTTTACCCTGTCATCCTCAACAGTAGAGGCAGTAGAGTACAATCATCAGCACTTTTGCTTCCAATGGCCTTTGAGGCTGTCTGGTTGATCTTTCCAAGGACCTTTAAGGGATGACACTTACGTAAGCGCCCTTTTCTCTGTCACCACATACTGCAGTATATGAGAAAAGCCCACCACCACTGTCAGATTCTATAACTACAGAACAGCCTCGCAGCATGATAGAACAACAGCAGTTAGACTTCAAAGCAGAGACCCCAGCCTCCCCTAGGTCAGCATGTGTCAGTGTGAGTCTTTCTCTGCCACTGTTGCACGTCTGTCTGCGTACAACTGTAGGAACAGCAGGGGAACATCGCTAACCTGCCAACAGAGATCCTGGCTTCCTACGGGACAGACAATGGTGCACTACAGCTGCAGCACTGTAATTTTGGCTAGGTTGGTTCCCTCCCTCCAACGATATGACATCACATCCCTCAGATAGATTTATGCAGACAGAAGCTAGATCTTCACTTACAATGGAAAGGAATGTTTCTACATTCACACTCGCTAACTTGTCACTATACAAAATTAAGCCATGGAAGAGAAAGATAACTGATTCAAATATGAGGTAAAGATTAAATGATATGATTTTGAAAGGAAATCCAACCCTTTTCTGTATCCTGCAACCAACTGTGATATGCTGCAATACAAGTCATAATGTCCATCTGATTTGTGTTGTTTCCAAACTTCTATAATTGAACTGACCCCCAGGACAAGGCTATCAAAACATTATCTTTTAGGATGACAGAGATAACAGTATGTGTGTGTGTACACGTGTGCGTGTGTGTGTGTTCACGTGTGCGTGTGTGTCAGAGTCCCTGCTGAGCCACACTGTGACTGGGGGTGACTGGGGGACACTGTGACTGGAGGACACTAAGGGGGTGACAGTTGGGTTATGTCTCTGCGGAGCTATAGGCGAGTGGACTTGGAGGCGCGGTGACCCTCCAGTCACTCCATGTTTCTGAAGCCGTCAGCAAAGTGCCGAAACAAGACCGTTCCTCCAATACAAACAGGACACAAAGGGACTCCAGTCTGCTGAAAGGTACATTACAGTACTCTGACTGCAATATAACGAATCCCTCTCTGTCTCTGTCTCTGTCTCTGTCTCTCTCTCTCTCTCTCTCTCTCTCTCTCTCTCTCTCTCTCTCTCTCTCTCTCTCTCTCTCTCTCTCTCTCTCTCTCTCTCTCTCTCTCTCTCTCTCTCTC